TTCATAGTTATATTTCCTACTAATTTTGATCTGAAATTTATTAGTTATGCCTTCTTTTCAACTTTTCTATTTCTCACATGAGTGTCTCCCTATCTTTTGATACATGTGTATGGTGTATGTTTATTCTCTCTTAAAAACCATCTTATAAATTTCTAAGCCTTGAAGTATGACAACGTTTATAAATAGTAAATAAATATTTCTTGAAATAGAGCAGCAATACGGAGTTTCCTTTGAACTGTAGCCTTGAAAAGCAGCATCACTAACACTTATAGGTTCCTCTGTTTCCCTATAGCATACTTTTTCCCACTCCTAATTATATTTTTACTTTGGGAATCACTTGAACCTATTTCCTAATGCAGTAATAGTATAGAATCCTGTGTATATCAGCTCTGCTAAGACACAGGTGCTAATCACTGCACGGGTACAAAGACCAAACTTCAGGGGTTCACTGAGAAGAAAGAAATGTGTCACACTAGATTGGTTTGTTGCACTATCACATGCAGCTTCAGATTTTGGGTGATTCAGAATCCAAGTCAAGTGAGTGCAGCCACCCAACAAACCATGTGTACTTTATGATCACCCTCAGGAAGGCGTGTAAAAGCAGCAACAAGACAAAATCCAACAGCTAAACTGTAACAGGTAACTAAAAATAGTACTATAGCATCAACATATTTAGTCAAAGGATAAAATTAATCTTAAAGTACACTCAATCTTGTAGCTTGTGGTGATTCACTGACTCGTTCCTTCATTTCTTAATTCTTAGCAAACACTAGGCACCAAAGAGTAGTAGCTTTATAAGCAAGGGTGAGCCCAACAGCAAGTCAAACACACACACACACACACACACACACACACACACACACACAAGTACTTAGCCTATAAACTTGTTATAAGCAAATTAAGTATGAAAGTTTAGTACAATAATTGATTTCTAGAAACAGTTATCAACTGTTAGAATTTCAATATAAACTACTAGCATTTTAATTCATAGTTGAAAAGGAACAGAATTTGCATAATAAGTAAAGTTTTGGTCATGGGTGAGACTCGGTAAGTTTTCTTCTCATGAAGACACAAGAAAACTGCCTTATCTTGGACTCAAACATTGAAGAGAGGTTGCAAATCATCACCTATAAGTTCTTGAGAAGTAACTAAAGCAGGTAAGAACAAAAACATCTGGCAAAAAGAAACTTGTCACACTCTAATATTCCTGGAAGCTAATTGCTTGGGGACTGTTCAGGAAAATATGTGCAGATGGAGAAGCCATAAATAGAAACATCTCATTAAAAATATCAGAAAGTAAAACAAGCAAAGACTCAGTTTGCTGCTTAGTTCACAGACTGGTACTTGAGTGTTGGCTGAACTGCCTTTTGCAAAGGTTTCTTTCTCAACTTAGATGGCAAAAAGCATTAACCAATTCTTTAAATGGCCTTGGAGCCTCCTATGTGCCACACTCTAGTCTAGAAATTGGTCACAAAATGTTACAGAGCAGATCAGTGGCCTGAAGTTTTAGTGGTGCAGGTTGATAGGAGTCAAAATGAGACAAGAGTGGAATTTGGATAAAATGTAATCAACCTGGGGGACAGTCCCTGTGGTGAATAGGCGCTAGTGCGATAATATTTCCATAATGTTGTACTCCTTTATTCTTGATATACTTATTTATTATTTGAGAATTCCATGCTTGTACAGAATCTATTTTTATAATATCCACTCCCTATTCCTTCCACCAACTCCAACCCCTAATAACCCATCCTCTGCTCAACTTCATGCTCTCGTGTGTGTAATGTGTAGTCTTCCCTGCCACCTGGGTCCTGCTGTCCCTTTTAGCCCCCAAATAACACACAGGACACTATATTAACTATGAAGCTGCTGGCCATTTTCTTGGTTTCTTATCTGCTAGCTCTGACTTGATTATTAGCCCATAATTACTAATATATATTTTATAAGGACTTATCTTTACAAGGACGCACACCTGACAAGTACGTTCCTCCTGGGAGATCACATGGCTACCCATCTCTTCACTCATTTCCCAGAATCCTCCTAGACTTCTAGTCCCACCTATCTTGTTTTCCTATTGGCCAACGGTGCTTTATTCAAACCAATAAGACACATATTTACAGAATGACATCTCCCAACACGTGCGCGCGCGCACGTGTGTATGTGCATGTGTGTGAGTGTGTGAGTGTGTGTGTGTGTGTGTGTGTTGTTAGGAACATAAGTAAAAACATTTTTATGTAACTTAATTAACATTTTGTGTTAGAAATACATAATTCCTGTAAGATAGCCTATCACCAGGTTGCTCAGATATGCAGCAAACCCAAGACAGGTCTTGATACGCTAATGAACTAACCTCAAGGTAGGGTTGATGTTAATGAACCAGTCCAAACTGTGAGCTGGACAGCACAAAATTACAACCCAAGGACATGATATAAAGGTTGGATCTTTGGAAGTGTCCCCAAGATCACAGTGCCATGCACTCCTGAGACCTTATTTCTCTAGCCTCTGTTTGATACTCATTAGCAGCAGGACTTTGATACAGGCCTCTGTATGACCCTGGCTTCAGGTAATGTTGAAGTTCCAGCACCACTGCTGAGCTCATGCATGTCTGCCTATCAGTGCCAGGTGCTATCCAACATTCTCTAGACCTTTTGAACCTCTACCAGTGGCATCCTCCCAATTTACCATAGCTGATGGACTTCACAGGAGGCATGGGTTGAACCTGAGAATTTTTCGAAGACTCCCACCTGAAAGATTCCCCAATGGAGCCCTACAGCAGTTTTTTTCTTCCCAACTAATTACTCCCTGCTTGGTGAGATGTCTGTTTAACTTTTACATTTGTGTGTGTGTGTGTGTGTGTGTGTGTGTGTGTGTGTGTGTGTATCCACCCATTCAAATAATCCCAGGTAGTAGTGCTACCCATATGTATATAGGTATGAAGCTATCCATTGGAGCATGGGCAACCTTTCAATGGCTACATCCCGAAGTCAAATGTCTCTTCTACTTCTTCTTCCTCTTCTTCTTCCTTTTCCTCCTCCTCATCTTCTTCTTCTTCTCCTCCTCCTCCTTCTTCTTCTTTCTTTTCTTCTTCTCACAGAAACCATCAACTGTTAATATCTCCTTAGCTAGTGGTGGGGCCCCAAGAGCCTTTCCCTATCCATGCTGGGATTCAAATTGACTTGTCGTGTGCAGGTAAACATGGTTACTGTGAGTTGATGAGTGCAATAGTGATGTTATGTCTAGAGGGCAGCATTATATAGCACTCCTCCTCATCCTCTGGCTTCACTTTGTTCTTCAACCTTCACTTGGATTACTTTTCGACTGAGAAAGGACAGTATAATAAGCAGCATAGAGATAGTGCTATGAGCTGATCTGCAAATGTTAAGAAAGTATGATGACTAATCTTGGATGTCAACTTGACAAGATCTGGAATCAGTGAAAAGACAAAGTGAATGGGCACTTCTGTCAGGGACTTTCTTAATCAGACTATTTGAAGTGGGGCGATCCACCATAAATGTAATAGAACCTTCCGGTGGTTCCAGAGAAAAGGACAGGGAAGAAGGCACTTTGCTTTATGTATGCTTACTTCTACTTCTGCTGATAATTTCATTTGTTCTGTTGCTTCATTGCTGCAATCCTCTGCTGGTATTATAACTGGCTTCTTTAGGTTTCCAACATAGACTGAAGACAACAGCTTTCCAAAAATCATCCAGATGTACAATATCTATTAGGACTAAGGAAATATCCAGCCTTGTTAACTGAGCAACCACTGGATTTTTAGTCTCTCTCTGTGAGTCACACATTGTTTAACTATCCAGAACTATAGTACAAGTCAATCTAATAATTTCCCTTTTAATATACCCATTATGTTGGTTCTGTTTATTCCAGAGAATCCTTACTGATTCATGAAGGAATTTTAATTGTTATCACTAGTTTACATGTCAGTTCTAGCATTTTGAAGCAGCATCTTACTCAAAGGACTGGTCCAGTAGTCTACTGCCTAAGGTGAACAACCATGCCCTAAGCACACAGAATCTGATTAAGATCTTACTGCATAATTTGACTTATTATCTAGCAAGCTATCACTTAATTATTTAAGGAAGTTTCCAAAATTAAAGATTTAAAGTAAGAAAACAAAAGAATCTAAAATTTGAAACAATCCAGGGAGTATAATAAGTTAAAAATATATGAACTATGTTCTCTGGGAAGGAAAAACAGATTTTCATACAATATAGACATAACAAAAAGAGAACTTTCATGAAATAAAACTGACGCTTTTGTGGGGAAAGGATATTGCTATGTCTCCCCAATTGACCTCAAACTCAAAATCTTCCTGCCTCAGTTTCCTGAGAAGCCAAGATATCTGGATGTCTAAACTCTTAATTCAATAAAAGAATTGGAAGATAAAACTGAGGATTTCCTCTGCACATAGAACAAAAGATAAAAGAAACACAAAATAAAAAAACCATTAAGAAAATACAACAAAATTCCTAGTTAATGACATACAAATTATAGAGTCTAGAAACAACAAAAAAATTGTTCAAGACATAATACAAACTTTACCAAGATAATTAAGGAAGCAGCTCTCTGAGATGATGTTCTTTATATATCTATGTAAGTATAGACAGATATATAGATAGGTAGACATATATCAGAATAGATTAAATGACCACCAACAACCAAAGAACAAGAAACCCACTGAATGACATAGCATTGTAATGTTTCCAAACACAAGATATAGAAGATTTGGTATGAGAACTCAGAAAGTCTAGGATTCATCCAACCCAATAGAAATCAGAATAGCCTCAGACTTATCTAACCAAACTACCAATCAGAGATACCCTGTGCATGAGCTGGGAAACAGCAGGTTTTAAGCAATGCCAAAACTAAATTTATTTTTATAAATTTTATTTAAATTAGGAACAATTTTATTTTACATAGCAATCCCAGTTCCCTCTCCCTCCTATCAATTCTTAATACTGAAAAGCTTATCTCTTAGACCCCAGGAGAGGCTACAAAGTTAAAGACTTCTATTGAATTTATCAATTCAGGATATTTTTAAAATATTCTCAGCACGTGGCTTCCTCCATGGAGAAAGAAATTGCTTTGACCAATGGTACATGCATATGACTCCTACTCATAATTCATTGGCCCAAGTCAGCCAGTGACCCTGCAGAACTGTGCGGAGGCAATGAAGTACTGCCGTCTATTTATTGAGGATAAGAGGAAGACTGGCCATAAGGGAAGTATAAATTCCCACCACACTTTTCTCTGGAAGGTTTAATCAAGCAAAGCAAGGGTATTTAATCAAGAGCAACCACTATGGCATCCTGAAGCCAAGGACTCTCTACCATTGAGCTGGAAAACTAATGGTCCAGATTAATATAGACAGACTCACAGCTCCAAGAAAGTGGTCTGGGGGGAAGATAACAGTATCTATAGACCCTCTGGTGATGTGGGAATTTGGAGGGAAACGATCATCGCAAACTGTAATGGAAAAATATACTCACAGTTACTGTGAGTTGATGAGTGCAATAGTGATGTCATGTCTAGAGGCCAGCATTATATAGAACTCCTCCTCATCCTCTGGCTTCACTTTGTTCTTCAACCTTCACTTTCCTAAATACTTACAAAACCATAGTAACCGAGAAAAAAATAAAAATTATACGAGGAAGAATTTATATTATTTCTGAGCCTTTTAACCTAGCAAAAATATAATGTGCCTAGTAACAATAATGCACACTGACTTGGAACAAAAATTGTTATACAACTTGATTAGCATAGAGATGAAAATAAGGAAATTTTAAGGGCTACAGACATCTGTTCTAGTTTCCACACCCAAAAATTCAACCGACTACAGATGAAAATTTTTCAGAAGAATTACACTGAACATGTAGAGACTCTTACCAAAGGCTTAGATGACACAATTCCAAACACAGAAGGGCCAATCCTACAAGATCTATGACATCAAGGAAACAGGAGACAGGAAAGTGGCAAGCAGATCACTTTATCTTCCATCCACATGGTGCTTATGGCTGGTTCCTTCATCATAGCCCACGCGCAGAAGTCCCACATCAAGGTGACAGGGGTGCTAATCACCTGTGCAATAGCCATCACATGACACTGAGTCACTGATTGTACTACCTCACATTTCTTATTCTTCATTCTCACATCCATAGCCTCCCCTCCCATTAATAATGCTCAGAACATGAATCCCGAGTTAACCTGATCTTGAGCGATCATAATATACACAGATCTATACTCAACCCAAAGTAGCCCAGAGACTAGGATGTGGGGAGGATGATGAGGGTAAAGAGGATAAGATGTGTTAGTGTTAATTTCTTTTATAAGTCCTCTTCTTTTAAAAAAAAGTTTCATGGATAAGTTTCATAAAATAAAAATTAATTTAAACTACCATATATGCATGCTAGATTGCTTAAACCTTTCAGAAAATTCCCATACAAAAAAGCTAAAATTATTTTAATGATATATCAAGATGGTTGGGCAGTTCTAATATAAATTTTGTATGCACATGCCTTTTATGGACTTTTCTTTAAAATAAAAGTCCTATCTACCTCTTTTATGAAAAGATAAAGAGGAGATTACCTTTAGATCAATACTCGCCTGCATCCTGCTTCAAGAAATGGCCACCAAGTGCTTTACGACCAAACAGCCAGTCAATCTATGGACTTAACCTAATGAATTATAGAGGAAAGAGAACGAGCTAAAAAAAGAACATGTTTGGTTTTTATGTTGTCTTTTGAAAAATGGAACCAAGGGTGGAATAAATGATTTAATTAAACCACTTAATGTTTTATTAAAGCCAGAATGGCCTAGAGTTCCTGTCCAGCCCTCTGCTTATCAATAAAACCTGTTATTTGTTTTTGCCAGAGAACTCATATTATTAGATGTGTCTATATATTTAGAGCCTCTAATTGGTTTCAAGAAATCATATGAACACTTATATTTCAAAACCCTTCTGTTAGATCCCAAAATTCTGCTGAACATAAAAACTAAGCAGGACCTCATGCTGAAGATGTTCTCAGATTTATCACTACTTCCAATGAAGAGCTCTGTTCCTGCTCTCCATGGCAGCACAGACTTTCCACTCTCACTACAAAGATGACAATCAAGGGCACCAGCGCAGCAGCAATGTGGGCCCTGAGCGCTGTAACAAGACTAAGAACGCGCCAAGAAAGGCAATGTCTCACTAGACCTTGCTGGCCTTTTCCTTTTCTTTGGACGCTGTCACTTCTCACCCCTACCTCACCCAGTTCTATATCCAACACAAGCGCGTTATTCACTGAAAGCAAATGGCCCAGTAGACAACAGTGGATAGAAGCAGCTTTCCTTTGTCCTGTCCGTTTTTATTCTAGACACTGTTGTCAGATGGGAATGGGCCTAGCACAGGATGAAGGGTTAAATGTGATCTGTTCCCTGCTACCAGCCTGCCCTGTACAAGGGATCACATATGTGGCTTCCTTTTAACACTGAAACGGAGTGACACCATAGATCAATATGCAGTTACAGAATCTAGGACTTTTTTCCCCTGGACACTCCTATTAATATTTTTGCTTTGGTCTTTGTACTGCTAGAGGGGAACTTTCCAGACAAAAGCTGCCTTTTGACCAGACAAGAGTGTCTTTTCCTGTGTTGCTGGTGTCTGTGTCACAAATGAAAGCTTCCTCTGGTGGGTCATGTGCCTACTGTCTAAGAGCCAGGGCCTTCTGTGGCCATGTACTGAAAAGGAAAAGGCAGACACACAAAGAACGCTTAGTCGAATTTATGAGTCACACGCTTATATGAAACTGGTGCGGCAAACCCTCTTTTCTTACACTTAAGACCAACACAAGTTTATGAAATTAGTTCCAAATTAAAACTTTTTAAAGTTACATGCTTCGACTTACTTGTCTTGCAAAATGCTGACAGAACAGTCTGACTGACACAGTAATGCAAGGACAAGAACTGAGAAACTGGCAATGACTGGATGCTATTGAGGGTTTATACTCTCTCCTCTCACAACTCCTATGCCAGTAGCCTCTTTTGGCTTTTCCTCGCCTTTATTTCTCTGTCCCAAATGTTTCTACATCCTCATCCTTGTCCTGACCATTCAAATCCGGATGAGATTTGTTTGTCATCCTTATCTTCGTCTATGTCTTCTGAGCACCACTGGTAGATCAATGTATGCCATATCATTAGCGGTTTATACAGTTAACATGAAGATGTATGAAGTGTGCACATCATATACATTTTTTGCCTAATGTTCTTCTTTCCATAGAACATAGATGTTTATGGCCTTAAATAAAACTACACATGCAGTTTGTTCACATTCTTTAGGGAAAAGTGGGGGGAGATAGGGAAGACATTGACGTGAGGAGAGAACTGGATTCCTTTTGCAACCAGCAGCCTCTTTTCCTGACTCCCCTCCTTACTCTCTGCCCGAAGGCAATTCCCTACACCAGGCAGCAAGCAACATAATATATATGAGTTTTTCAGAATTTTATACTTAAATATATGTATCCAGAAATAATACACTGTACATATCCTTCTGCCACTTGCTTTTATATTCAACATTAAATTTTTAGCTATGTCCCTGATGATTTATATAGCTCTGGGGCTTTGGAACTCCTATTTTTGTAAAGAAAGAAAAAAATCCCCTAGTACTTACTATGGAAGTAATACAATTTGCTGGGTATGTAGGGACAAGTTCAGCACCCCATCCACAATAAGTTCCTTTGTGAACACATGCACTAAAAAGCAGAAGTTCCTTGGACAAATTAGTAGAGAGACTTTTTGCAGTAAATTCCAGGTTTACTGCTAAGACAGAAAGCTTTCCTTAGAAGGTTTAAATAATTTCATACTCGCAAAAAGCATGTCTCCAGCAGGCTAAATTAAGGCGCTATGAAAGATCAATCTAAGAATATGCTTTGGTTTGGAATCTGTTGCCTTTTCTTGTGGTTAGAAATCAGATACATTTTTCCCCAAAGCTCTTGCCAATGTGTGCATTCTTCTACAAGAATTAAATAAAAGTCAATAAGCAGGCCAGTTCCTTAGTAATATTTTCTTCACTCAAATGACCTATTTTGGGCAAAGCCTTGCATGCACTCTTCCTGACACCTTTCCAGAAAATATGCAAACAAGGCTCATATCCTTCCAAAGCCTTTTCCTCCACTAATGCTCAGTAGGTTACATCTCCCTGCGGCTCCAAAGCCTCCCTGCCTCTCTGTGTTGATGTTCTCTGGAGGAGAGTGCTTTGAAGTGGTTTTCCCTTTCATCCCTCATCCTATACTGATTGCTTCAGGAATTATTTTCAGACAGTATCTATTTAGTTTTTCATTTGTTTTGCTTCTTTAAATGTTTCTTCTAAGACCCAGTACTTCACCTAAAATTTTAAAATATTATTATACATTTCATGTGTGGAGGTAATTTGTGTGTGTCCCACTTGTATGCCTGGCGCTCACAGAGGCAAGAAGCAGGAGTTGGATCTCCTGGGACTGGAATTGGAAATGGTTGTGATTCATCACCATGTCGGTGCTAGGAATCAAATGTGGGATCTCTGGAAGAATAGCCCTCTCTCCACACCTTGAATGTTAATGAAAGCTCCCAGGAAAATCTCCCTTTTGTGGTGAGGACAACATACGTGCTTCAGAATCATGCCGTGTTTGCTGCTACCCACCTTTGCCCCGGATTCAGCTCCTTGAAGGACCCTGGCTTTCGTGGAGGAAGTCTTTTCTCTGGAGATGTTTCCAGGTGTTCCCCCTGCTTCACCCACAATCGTCTTTTCTCTCTTTCCTCCCACTTAGCTCCCATGGTCTCCATCACAAAACCACTTATTTTATCTGCAGAAGCAGGCAAAAAAGGCGGTAAGGTACAATTTTATGAACCATAAATATATTCTTGTATTCTCTGGTAGAAAATAATGCTGCCTGTGGTTGCTGATTGGATAAAAGCTGAACTTTCTAGTGAGGCAAAACAAGAATAAAATTAGGGTGCATGGAAGAGCAAACTACAGTAAAGTATACCTTTGTGCATACTCATGTAGTCTGGCTGGGCCCTTCCCCACCCTGCAAACGTCCACCGCCCTTTTGCTGTGTGCACTCCACTTCAACATACTTCTCTCCATCCTTGAAGGTTAAGATCCATAGACGATACAAGGGGGAATTGCCAGTTGGGCAATCAGCCAAAGTCATCCCACAGCAAACACCCTGCAGAATCCACAGCTGGAAACACCACATGAGGGATAACACATGTGTATGTTTTGCTGTTTCATCAGGAATCCGTCAACATGGAAATTGACAGTTGAGTCAGTCCTTGGGCAAATTTACCTTAAGACCTTGGAAAATTCACCTTTGTTTCTACTACCTATACATTAAAAATGAAAATATTGCAATCTCTATCGTTATCTGTGCATGTATTATTGCATTGCAAAGATGCTAAAATAACTGCTGCTAATATGTTTCAAAAGAAATACCCAGTCAGTCAGTAGCTCATAATGAAAGAATCCAAAGTGACATTTGTTTTGTTTTGTTTTTTTCACTGTATATTTATTGCCCATGTTTCTCTGTCACATACAGATATTTTATATAAATATGTATCCTACATTGAAGATATACTCCTCTACATCCCCCCTTTCCCCTTAACTGCTTCCATTAGTCTCCTTTGTCCCCCTAGACAGTTTCACTTTTCTTCTATGTCATATTATTTGCCAAGACTCTATATATCAATATAAAATCTAGGGATCACAAACAATACTTGTCTTTCTGAGGCTGGCTCAACTGTCTTGATGTAGTTATCTCCAGTTACATCCAATTTATTTCAAATGACACAACTTCATTCTTCTTGACAGCTGAAAAGTCTTCCTTCTCTATATATACCATATTTTCCTTGCCCGTCACTCTGCTGACACGGAGGAATCACACGCATGGGTTCTACAGCAGCTACTGTGAACAGTGTGCAATAAGCAGGAATGTGCAGGTATCTCTGTGATATACCTGACTTGGAGTCCTTTGAGGACCCAGAAGTGGTCTAAGAAGGTTGTATAGTAGGTCTCTTTTTGTTTTTTACAAGCCTCCATACTGATTTCCATGGTGGCTTTCAAGATCTATCAAGTCTATCAAGACAGGCTCGTATTGGTACATCTGAGGATCTAATGCCAGTAAAAAGAATTGATCTGCTAGCAATAGAAGTGAGAGCAAGCAGGCAAAAAGAGCAAATTGTCTTCTCCCATGTGTTTTATGTAGACGGTTAGCAGAAGGTGTGGTCTACATTGAAGGTGGATCTTCCTGCTCCAAGGTTTTCCCATGTGGCAGTTTGAAAATGGCCTCCAGAGGGAGTCACACTAATGGGAGGTGTGGCATTGCTGAAGTAAGTGTGACCTTGTTGGAGGAAGTGTATCACTGTGGAGGTGGACTTTGAGGTCTCATACATGCTCAAGATATGACCCAGTGTCTCAGTTTACTTCCTGTTGCTTCTGATGGAGATGTAGCCAGCACCATGTCTGCCTGCATGTGGTCATGCTCTCCACCATGCTCCCTGCCATGGTGATCATGGACAGAACCTCTGAACTGTAAGTTGCTACTTCAGTTAAATGTTTTCCTTTATAAGAGTTGCCAGGGTCATGGTATGTCTTCTAAACAATAGAAACTCATCTAAGATATCCCACTTCAAATGATTTAATTAAGAAAAAATCCTCACAAGTATATCCAGCCACTTGGGCTTTCATTAACTGCAGATGTAGTCACGTTGGCAACCAAGGATAGCCATTACAACCATCTTGCAGTATTTTCTCCAGAGCTTCCCAAAAGGTTGGTTGCACTTTTATCCACATTACAGTTTTACTTGCTCTAATGTTTAATCCTACTTGTTATCCCATAAATCCTTGGCAAATTCTACCTTAATATCTGCTTCTGAAAAGCTCAACTTGCAAAAATTGAAGAACTAAAAAGAATCACACATGGCAGGTTAGTTACGTGGAACCTATGGTAGCAGCAGAAGGGAATAGATAGCAAAACCAACCAAACCTCTCTGATGCTCTGATGCTGTAAATAGAAAAGCCTTATTTTCAGTGAATGGAATGAAAATCAAATCAAACTATAGCGTCAAAAATCATCCTTACATGGCGTAGGATGGGGAAAGAGGTTGGTGCTGATGTTTGGAGCTTTAATGAAGACTGAGACCGGAGAAGAGAAAATGAGGCAGAAGTTTGTCTTGAGACCTTATGTAAACCCAGGACTCTAAAACAGCTGCATCCTTGTATAAGAGAGACTGGCAAAACTCAAGCCATCTGCCACAAAAAGGATGCTTCACTCTTCCCTGAACAGGAAAAATAAATACCTCTAGTGCCCAATGCTGTACCACATAGGATTTCACTTCCACTGGAGTGGCACAGGAATTCCCCAGCTTAGAATTAAGATATATCCTGAGCCCAGGGTATTGCTAGAGAATGAGACAGCAGTAACTCAGTCTGGATTGCATCAGAAAAAAAAACAACCAAAAGGCACACAGCACATGTTCAGGAACAATTTAGAATGAGCAAGAATTAGAAAACATAGCTCACCAAAAAAAAAAAAAAAACCAAAAAAAAAAACCAAGGCATAATTACATGGCTTGCATAGAAAGCATAAGGGAAGGCTAATTCTGAAAAAAAATACCCGCAGATTTCAAAATAAACAAATATTCGTGCTAAAATGAGAGTCTGAAGGCTTGAAGCTAAAAATTCAATGGTTAGATTGAATAGCAGATTAAATAGAATTTAGGAAAGAACAAGATTATGTTTTCATGTGTGTAGGTGTTTTGTTTTCATGTGTATGTGTGACTGGTGGCCATGTCAAGAAGGTCTTGGATCCCCTGTGGGTACTACCAAACAAACCTGGATCCTCCGGAAGAACAGCCACTGCTTTTCACCACTGAGCAGTCTTTCCAATCCCAAAACGACTTTGTTAAAGGCTCTGAGAATATTTTTCCATGGCTATATAGGCCCACAAAAACGGCACTCAGAATTCCCTCAAGAGGATCTGTTGAGAAGAATGGCTGACAACCCCAGCTCCTGGGCTCCACTTTATTTGCTCTGTCCCGTTCTGGGAGCACTAGGTTCGATAAGAAGTTACACTGGGTGACACTTGCCAGGGGATCCCACCTGCCCACACTAGGACCTCGGACATCCAATCTTCACTGCGGATGTCTCTGTTTCTCCACCCCCATTCTTTATACCTCCTCCTTCCACAAAATCAGTCCTGTGCAGTGGCAAGACACCAGGAAAGCTTCTGTCCTAGTTTGTTCGTTACTGCAGTGATGGAACACTATGACTAAAAGCAACTGGCGAGGAAGGAATCTGCTTAGCTTACGCTCCCGCATCACCGAAAGGATCTGCTTATCTTACGCTCCCGCATCACGGAAAGGATCTGCTTAGCTTAGGCTCCCGCATCATGGAAAGGATCTGCTTAGCTTAGGCTCCCGCATCATGGAAAGGATCTGCTTAGCTTACTACACTCCCGCATCACGGAAAGGATCTGCTTAGCTTAGGCTCCCGCATCATGGAAAGGATCTGCTTACCTTACGCTCCCACATCACGGTCCATCATCGAGGAAAGCCAGGGTAGAAACTCAAGGGACGAACTGAAGCAGAAATCATGGAGGAAGGCTGCTACTTATGTGTTCCCCATAGCTTGCTCGGCTCAAGTGCCCAGGAGTGGCAGTGCCAAGGGGAGACTGTGCCCTCTCACATCAATAATTACTCAGTAATGCCCCACAGTATTGCCTACAGGTCCATCTGACCGGGCATTTTCTTAACTGAGGTTCTCTATTCCAAACTGACCCCAACCTTTATCAAACTCGCAACTAACCAGCCCACCATCCCTATGGACTTTTACCTGCTCCCTTTTTGTTCTCATTTCTTCCAAAAATGTCTTTCACAGTCTGATATTACTTGTGTTTCTTAGATATGTCCACACAAATAAACCTAATGTGACCACAAATCACTAACTTAGAACATGGGCAGAACCAATCAACATTTTAACAGCTTTTAATTTAAACTTTTTCAGGATTTTCATACAGAAGTAGTCTGACATTTTTATCTACCCTCTTCCCTCTACCTCTTTCCATGTCCCCTTTACTCCCTCTCAAGTTCATGAGTTCTTCAGTTATTATTGTTATATTTATTATATATATCCATCTATATATACGCTAATGATGAAAGCAATCAACTCAATAAATTCATGTTAAACAATTTAAAACTAAGCTCAAAGAAAGGAAGTAATAGGAAAGTGGAGCGAATGGGTGGGGAGGGGTGGATAATTTAGATCGCTTGGCAATGACTGGCCTTATGGAGGCATTTAAACAAATATGCAAGGAAACCCAGAGATACCGGTAATATTTTCAATTAACAACATGCACAGTTTGCCTGCTTTTCAACCCCATGATGAGAGGAAATGTCTCACCAGTCTTAATAGCAGTTGTACATACAGAATGGAAAAATCATCACCTGTTGCTCATGCAACCTCTCTAAGGGATAAAGTCATAGATACTGCAAGCGTTGTGTGAATAGACCCTTGGGAAAGATGATGACAGAGTGTAGGAAGAGAGCTCATTCTCCTGGAAACTCCTCAGCCCTGTCACTTGGTTGCCTCATGAGACTTAGCATCCATGGTTTGTTTTTCCATAGGACACCTTACCTCTTGGGAGAAGTGGGGCTGCCCTCCCTGTTGGCCACAAGGAAGCTCGGGCCACTTCTTCCAGTCTGAAGGAAGTGTTGCTCATCCCCTCTGCACTCCCCTCCTGTTGATCACTATGCAGGTGCCTCTCATCACTAGTTTCCGAGTGAGGTGATTTTCTTCACGGTCACA